GGTTGGCGGCCGATGGTGGCTGTTCCCCTCTAAGTCGACGATGAAAATTTCACCTCTGCCCTCCTTTATTTCGCGAGGCTTCCACGCGTTATCCCAGAAATCCCGTTCAACGTGGCCTCCTTGATGAATGGCCCCGTGCATCCTTTTCGTTAACGCGCACGAGTTCTAATTGTGCGGCCGCCGCCGCCGTGAAAAGAGCCTTTGTGCCGAGACTCTCAAAGACGTTAATTGGATTATGGAATTTATAAGGGTTAACAAGTTGTTTCGTAATTGCGAGTGATATATTTGCGGCGAGGGAAGGTGTTTTAAAATCGATGGGGAGAATTTCGAGATGGATGAAAGACGTAAATAATGAAATTTATTCTTTTTTAGCTTTCCTTGAATAATAATCGAGGTAAGAAAAAAAATGGTATTTCAAGTGGTATTTTTTTTTTTTTCGCTTTGAAATATATATTTTTCGATATATATATGAATCGTTCGATATCGAAAGGCGAGTAAAGAATTATAATTTCGCCTGGGAAATTACACGTGTATTTGCCAGTTATTAAATCTGAAAAAGGCCGAGGCCGTGATCATTTCATACCGTTCTATCTAAAATCTCTTTTCGTCCGTTTTACTAATCTAAATAGAATCGTAATTTTTTGATAATCAAATTTTCATCGCCTGTTTGCGCGATGGAAGGAAGGAACGCGCATATTTTTACACCTTTTAATCAGCCGGGCTACCTTACTATCTCCCGCGGCCATAAAAGCCATAAAGCCGGGGGGATCCCCTTTATCACCGAAACGAAATACTCTGGTTAATTATTAACCGACCAATACGGAAACATCGTCGGATCCCCTGATGAAAAGTTCGAGTTAATCTTAAGAAATCTCGTAAAGTTTATTATCCATCCCTCCCTTGTCATAATTACTCGCGCCTGCGTGTAACCAACCACTCCCTCCCTCTCCCCTCGTCTCGCCTCGCCTCGCCTCGTGGAATTAGTCCATTCCATTCTTTCCCCCCCTCTATTTTGAAAAATTCATTAACATTATGGGGCGGGCATGCTAATTTTAGCAAAGTGTCCCACAAGCCATGAATAATTTAGACAATGGAATGGTCTGCCACTCGGCAGAATATATTTCATGGCCACGCTTCCACCTCGAATTTCTGCCTCGCGCGCTGCCCCCGTTCCCATGCATTATTTCCACGTATCCGCTTAAATACGCTTGTCCAGGGACCATCGTCGATGCTTCGTCCAGTCAGGTTGATGTAACGACTTCAAACGAGCGTCATTCCCATCGCGCTCTATCTGTTCGGATTAATGGAATTAACGGAGAATCTTGTAATGATAATATGCACTTTCGATGATTAACTTGGTTGGTTTCAATTTGGTTCAAAGCCCGACGATAAATTTATTACGTATTGGTATATCGAGCTGTTTGATTCCTTCGATTTAATTTTCCTCGTCTCTTTCCCCCCCTTTTTTTTTAATAATCGCGTTCGAATAATCTTTTTTCTTCTTTTCTTTCGTTCTTAATTGACGATATTGGACTTTCGATCCAATTTCTAGGAAACCGTATCGTGTCTTTCGAGACTTGTTCGAGATTACCAGCCACGATACAAGCATCTCTGGAAGGATTAGAATAGATCAGAGGGAATCAAGATGACACGTGACGAGAAGGTAACCGAAATTCGGGTCGCGTACAGGTCCCAAATAGTAATCGAACTCGTATACCAGCTGGATATGCCTGATCCAAATCGTCAGATTTAATTACCTCTGCGTATACACGCAGAACTGAAATCTTCTACCAAATTGAATTTCCCTTCGAGAAATTATTTTTACGAATACATTTATATTTCGAAACTATGAAAATAAGTTTCACAGATTCTGATGTTTATGATTTATAAATACTATCCTTCTGTAAATTCTTTTTACTTCAATCTCGAAGAATCTGAGATACATCAAACCGATCGTACGAACGATCCTCCGATTTCAACATCGTAACATCGATCCCATCGCTCTTCAAGTGTACCGTACGAAAAAAGAAAAACGACCCAACCTAACCCAACCTCCTAACCTCCTCCCAATCTAGCTCGAGGCTGTAAACTTAGCGCGCAGCGACAGTTCAGAACTGCAATTAAATACCGTAGGTTTAATACCGTAGTCTCTCGTCTGTGTAAAAACGGGCCGAGTGTTTAATGCCAGTTCGTACGTTCTCTCGTCGGTCTTCTCTCGCCCCGCGAATATCTCTTCCCGTGAAGCCCATCCGCAACTTGAACGACCACCAGGTGAAACAGACGTTGTGCACAACCCTTGGCTGGAAGTGACGGAGCGTTGGCGGCAAGTTCAGGATGGAGGGAGGGGGTGATCGGCCAGGTTCGAGGGACCAGACTTGCGAGAAGGGCTTCGCGGTATTATGCTAATCTCGTTAAACTGAGAGCAGGTCAGACGGTAGCAGACCTTACACACTATCGTGTTAAGATAATAACAATGAAAGGGTTGGTGAGGGCGACCACGCAGTGAAGGCAGTGGTCGCATTATTAGCTCGACCAGCAGCGTAATCTTCTTGCCGCGTTAGGTACACCGTCTCGTATATCGGATAACAAGTCGTTTCGCTTCTATTTTTTTTTTTGTGGAGATGAATCATTACGATTCGATTTCCTTTGTTTTCATCTATCATATTGATCTGATTTGTTGAACGAAAGAGTAAGGAAGGAAGGAAGGATATTTGCTTTTATTTCTCGTCTTCCCTTCCTTTTTTCGTCGCGAATTCGATGGAAGAAAATGTAGAAGAATTTTCGTTATATTTTAATCTTTTAATTTTGATTCAATTCTGACTCGCGCGCGCTTTTTATTGCGCCTGCCACCGCTATGCAAAACTCCGTAAAACTTTATAATACGAAAGAATTTCCTTTGTTTTGGGGGAAATATGTTGTCCGATAAGAGCGTTAGAGGATGGACGGCGTAATTGCATTCTGAAAAGTTTTTGCGGAATGTAAGCAGAAGGAACGTGGCTATGAGATACGAAAGAAAGCGCGGCCGGTGTGCAAAAGTGCCTGGGAAAGCGGGGAGGAAAACTGTGAAAAACTGTGCGCGCGGAGGAAAATAAAATTTTATAACTGACCTGTGGTGGTGAAGTTTCATATAACCGTTTCGTCGAATTTCCCCGCCCGAAAATTTTATAAACAAATCGTTAAACCATCCCCTCCCCTCGAGGGAACCACCAAAACTTGTTCGACTCGAGAACTGCCATTATTGGCCGACCTATCCAAACTTACGTTCAAGTTAAATACATTTCACCTGGATTCGATCAAACTTTCGCGTCCGACGAATAATCGTAAATTCTGTACCTGTTATATAAATATTCACGATTAAAGAAAGAAAGGAAAAAAAGATTGTCGAAGATCTCTCGATCTTTTAGAAAATCGAAACAAATCGACATTTCTCTACCAATTCTCTCTTTCATAAAAAAAAAAGATACACGCAATGGAAAATATCGCGCGAAATTCGTAATCGAAACCGCATTATATCCGCGGAGAGAAAGAGAGAGGGAGAGAGTGATTGATGGAGATGAAGAGGAGGGGCGTATTCCCCGCAGCGTCATCATCTTGGATTCTGATTAATAATTACGTTAAAGCCACCGAGTCCTCGAGGCAGTGTCGTGCCATCCGACAGATTATGATAATGTAGTCCGTTTCGAACTACGGAGGAAAATTTTCCGGGAGGAATGCCATCCGGGGCATAAATATGGAAGAGGCTGATTGAAGGGGGGCGAGGGGAGGGGATACTCGTGGCGCGTGTTGACTCAAAGGAAACCAGGATGGAAAGGAGGATGATGGAAGGAGGAACCGCGATAAAGCAACCTTTCTCGCTCCCTTCCTCTCCTTTCCTCTTTTTTCTTCTTTCTTTCTTTTCCTCCTCCACCCTCGAGGCTCCGTCTCGAGCTGAAAAAACGAGCGGAGGATCCGATTGGGACCAGGTGCCGGCTTGATTGTCACGTAATACGCGCGGCTTAAGTTTATTCAACGGGAAGATTCGCCACTTTAACGTCGAATGTCTGTTTTAATGAAAGCCGCTCACGCGACGAAGCGTTTGTAGATCGAGCAGCGTGGCTCAAACTGATCTCAGACTGATTTTCGTCCATTTCGGTCTCTTCGTTTTGGAGAGTGCGGTATTTTTTGAAGGGAAGAATATATAAATTGAAAAAAATGTGTTGTAGAGTATAAAGTTCACGTTGAAGTTTTATTTATAATTGTATTATTGAACGTTGATAGCAGTGTTTTGTAAACAGATACGCGCATTCACGTATAATTAAGATATATCCATTCAGGTAAATCCGCATATTTTATTTATTGTTCACCACTGCATAACAAAATATTACCTTTCTTCGAGTTATTTCTTTTTCTCCATTTTACGTCTAAGCTTCTCCTAGATTTTAGTATAATTAATTGGAACAATTCGTCGATTTATTCTTGCATAATTTATTTTTTCAGATTTCTCGGAAAAAAGTTATTTTTAACTTCGCATTTTCAAGTATACTGGAAAAGAATATTTTGTGAATAAATGACGTTTAACGCCGATTATTTAAATATTGCGAAAAGATACGCGAGCTTCCTTGACAATGATAATAATTAAACGCCATAATCGCTTTACGAACGTGTGACGATTAATTTCGTTGCCATGCGTGATGCATGGAAATTTGGGCTATTATACTAATGAACGAGTATAATTTATACAAGCACGGGTACAACGTTCGATTAATAGTACAAATACAATTTGTTTAATACACTGGACGGGAAAATTGAAATAACACTATCAATTAACTAACCAATATGCTCGCGTTAATATCAATTATATTTATCATTATAAGGGAAGCTCTTCGAACGATAAAATTCCTCCTCTTCTCTTCACAACAACCCAATTCCTCTCTTCCAATTCTCCAACTCCTTCTTTAATTGAAATTAAACGAAAAAAAAATCGCCAAATTATCTTCTTTTTCCCTTTTCTTTTATCGCAGCGCCACCATGATAAACTGCGCCACCTAGAAGCAGCAGGAACATAGGGAGACGTTTATCCCGCTAATCAGATCGCGAAGGACAAAGCCCGTGATACATTGCGCCGCAGATTGCCGTGGAATATTATTAAATGGGCCGCGTTCCCGAACACGAAGGTCTTCCCTCGAGCTCTTTAGCCGTAGGATTAAGTAAAATGGTGGACGGTTCCTATTCCGTGCGCAACAGGTGAGGCGGTATGTCATTTTTTAACGGACATTAAGCATGTGTTGCGAGAGAGAGGCCGTTCATCGAAAATTTATAGGACCCTTGGAAGTGGAAAAAACTAACCGCTCCTCTCGATGCGAATAACGGCCCACGTTATTTCCACCCTTTAACATTGCATTAACTACATCCTCCACCTACGAGCTACACGAGTGCATAAATAAACCATGGAGCGTCATACCAGCAACCAGGAGAAGTGAAAGCTACGAGAAGTGAAAAATACATCAAGGATTGTGTGTATAACGTGTAAGACAACGAATGTATATTATTTTCAAACGAAAGAAAATGTTTTGTATTGTATATAAGATTAAGAATATTTGTGTTATTTTTGTTATTTTTATTGTAAAGAATATATATGAAAAATAAATCGTTTTTACGTATAATCACGTTGTTTTATTAATTGTTAACCTAACCTAATCCTTTACTCCAACCAAACCAACCTATTAAGTTTAATTCCCTTGAAAAGTATTCTATTTTTAATTGTAATAATTTCAAAGAATAACAGATATCAAGGAACCTAATCTAACCTAACCTAAACGACATCCCAGAGAACCAACGTTAAGATATTCGGTTGAAAATCATTCCATTTTCAATAATTAACAATTTGAAGGAATATTAGGCTATTAATTCTTTCCTGATAATAAATAATTAGCAAAAATCGTTCGGCGTGTCTCTTCAGCTTCGATAAATCTCTTCCGAATCGCACGGGTTGGAACAAAACACGAGTTCAGCAGCAGACTGAGAAGACGAATACATCCTCCATAATCTATTAATGGCAGAGTCGTCGAGGTGCATTTAAAATGCAGGAAACTCGCTCGTGGCTGTGCAAGGATTGCAGCTGGCCCATAGCCAGTCTGCTAAGTGGTCCACGTTTTCCATCGAAGGTACATCGGCCTCGTTGCCCTCCTCGGGAAGGGTTGGTTCCTCTTGCATTCGTACGCATCCGCACGTTCCGTGCCGATGCACTTTTCGCATCGACAAGTGGTCTCTTCCCGGTTTTAATCGGCAAACCTCGATGTATATACCTCGAAGAAGGAAAATTAACTTGGAGAGGGATCGTTGCTTAACGTTCGATTTGCATATCGGTCGAGTTTTATCCTCTCTGCCATCTGGTTGGGGGAGAGGAGGGTAGAATTTAAGCAGTTTCTCGTTAAGAACAAGAGAAGTATCGTGGGGAATACGATAGCAATGCGCTGATTAATGAGTCGAGGAAATTGAACTTTGTTGTTAACGAGGAATCCTTTTGTGGCAATATTTTTAAATTGAATATTAATTGTTGAATATCTTTAGTATTGGAATCCTTTCTGTGATATAAAATGTAAGTATCTATAAAAAAATTTATAAGTCCTTAACTTTTCTATATATAAAAAAACGAACAGCAGCAGGACCTGCCCCCCTCGAAACCAAGTAACTTTTATTCGAAACTTTTTTTAATATCTCCAAAAATAAGGGAGATACATCGAAAAATGTCGATCTATTGTTCGATCACTTCCGAAAAATTCTAGGAATTTGACGTCATTTCCAAGAATTTTAGAGATACACAGAATTAGACCCGAGTTCCAAGAATTTTAGAGATTCCGAGAATTCGACGTCATTTCCAAGAATTTCAGAGATTCCGAGAATTTGACGTCACTTCTTGGAAAAATTTTTCGAACGACCTCCTATCGTATCATGTTCTCCTAATACAAAATCGCATTTTTGGACAAATATTTTACTTCGATCAGGGAATTTCGAAGCTAATCTTTTTTATTAAATATCTCGCTTATTCTTCACGATATTAAAAAATGCTTGGAATAAAAGTTGAATGGTTTCGAAAGGGCTGTATTCCGGTGCCCTCAATTTTTTTATACATCGACTCATAAAAAAGTTATCAAGGTCACCTTTATTTTTTTAAATAGCACTGTACACTTTTCTATACACCAATCTATGCAACATTGCATTCTCTATAAAAGTGATTAGGGGTATTTTTAGTAAAAAACCATTAGTTTCGAAGATATTAATTATCTTTTAAACTATACGTTTTTTACCATATATGGCTTAGTACTTTTTTATAGAGAATACTAAGGGAAAACAGCTGGTGTATTAAAAAATATATAGTCCCATTTAACAAAACCACATTCGCGTTTATAAGTCCTTAACCCTTCTATATATAAAAAAACGAACAGAAGCAGGACCTGCCCCCCTCGAAACCAAGTAACTTTTATTCGAAACTTTTTTTAATATCTCCAAAAATAAGGGAGATACATCGAAAAATGTCGATCTATTGTTCGATCACTTCCGAAAAATTCTAGGAATTTGACGTCACTTCCAAGAATTTTAGAGATACATAGAATTAGACCCGAGTTCCAAGAATTTTAGAGATTCCGAGAATTCGACCCGAGTTCCAAGAATTTCAGAGATTCCGAGAATTTGACGTCATTTCTTGGAAAAATTTTTCGTTCGACCTCCTATCGTATCATGTTCTCCTAATACAAAATCACATTTGTGGACAAAAATTTTCGTTTGCTCAGGAATATTAGTAATTCCAAGAATTTTAGAATTTCCTAGAATTTGACGTCATTTCCAAGAACTGCTTAAATTCTTGGAAAAATTTCCCGATTGAGCTCCTATGAACTTATGTTCTCCTAATACAAAATCGAGAAATTGGCAGATGTTTCGGTATTTCTATGAATTTGATCTCAATTCTAAGAACTTTTTAATTTTTAATTTTTACATACTGATCTGTGTTATACTTACCTTTTATGATATAACAGTCCCGAAATGAACATTTTTTTTGCCATTTTATTTAATAATTATTATTAAATTTTTACATACTGATCTGTGTTATACTTACCTTTTATTGACTCAGATTTTTTTTAACAAAGGATACTTTTAGGAAAGGAGAAATGAAGAAAGAAATATAAAGAAAATACAAAATATATGTATAACATCTATTTGTTTATTAAGTATTAAAATTACATTAACATTACATTTTGTATTATATTATATCGTATATTACACTATATATATGTTGGAGTGTTCCCGATTTTATGTTGTCTTGCCTCAGTTTCATCTCAAAGATGCTATATCTCGTTGAAATGATGGTAGCGTAGTGAGGATTGCTGATGAATAGGTCTGTTTGAGAATTCCGTTGCTGATCAATCTTGTTGTCATGGTAATGGAATTAGTCTGAGCAATCTTCCATCAACTTATATTCTCCTTATACAAAGTCGAAAGTTAGCTGTAAATTTCGTTCACTCGATTATTTCAAAAATTTCGATAATTTCAATAATATGACGTCATTTCCAAGAATTTTGGAAATTCCAGGAATTTGACGTTATTTTCAAGAATTGTTAAAATTTTGGGAAAAATATATGTGACCTCCTATTAAATTATGTTCTCCTAATACAAAATTCAATTTTTCAGAAACAAAAATTTCCGAATATTTAATCTTGTATTAGGAGAATATAATTTAATAGGAGGTCACATATATTTTTCCCAGAATTTTAAGGCTGACACTTTTCACTATTTTATACTATTTTTATAGGGGATAACATAATCGTGAAAGAAGTAACATATGTAATTTATAGTACTTCTTTTCATACTTACCTTTTATACTTACCTTACTTACCTTTTAAATCAACCATATTTTCAGCCATATAATCATTTTTCAACAGTTTACTTAATTCTAAAGGATTGAAGAATATATAGGATAGGTATAATATATAGATATCTAATACTATGTTAAGAATGTATGCAATCCTAAAATAAAGTAGAAGAAGAAATGTTATAGTTCAATGGCGAGTATTGGAATTTTTTTCCTTTTTTCATTTCATTGTTAGAAATGTTAGAATTGTAATATATTTAAATATTACGTAAATATAACGAAAGAAAATATGGAAACGAGTGAAAATTTTGTTACTAGGATTGCTTAGCAAACTTGTGTCTTAATACGTTCGAGATCGATGACCTATTCATTGAGCTATACCACTTGCCAGTAGTTAAGAACACGATGACTGTGTCATTTCCAGCCGCAGATCAATGCTATTACCTAAGTCTCGTATCGTAGTTGAAAAATTACGTATTAAAATATAAATTTTATTAATTTCTCGAAGCACGTTGATTCCGAATTTATTAAGACACTGATCGTGAGAATAATTATATAAATTTCTTTACAGTCATTCCAGCGGTGAAGGGTTATCACGATGTAAATTTTTTAAAAAAGCGTGATACCAACCGCATAATGATGCATAAATTACTTGTGTAAGTATGGTTTTACGTGCTTCGTAGTAAACGTAGCCTCATGAAGTTACCTTCAGCGCGCGATAAATTAGTTTTAATTAACTTAGATTAAAGATGCATAATAATAGCGCAAGAATAGTTTAGCTAATTGTACAATAAATTTGACATTAAGGGAGGGGAATAATATCAGGAAAAAGACTCTTATGACGCATGTTAAAAGCTTAATAGCTGTTTAATGAGTAAAAGTTTAGCTTAAGGTATTCAGTTAATATCTTCTTGAAAATTTTCAAGCGCATAGCTTTGAATAGTACGAATCTCGACCATCTTAAGATTAATTACTTATAAATTCACACATTTAAATATTCGATCAGCAACTGCAATAATAATATATCCAAAGAATAGAAGATTTTTATCGAATTATCTTTTTTCAATATTTATTCACGAAATAAATAAATAACACTTGTATCGATCATTTAAGAAATTATTCAATCGTTATCATCGAATTCTCGAAATTACGTAATATTTTTTGTCAAAGAGGAATAAATAAAGTAATCGGTGCCACTATTTTTCCACGCACGTAATATATATTCAAATCTGGCGCCGCACAAATCTCAAACTAATTGGATGTGGGTTACGCGTCGGAGGATTAGAGCAGATGGAATTAGGAATTGTGGAAACAGCGACGTGTAGAATGAGACGACACTCGGGCATGCTAATTAACATCGCCCACGTTACCAGATTTCCTCGTTAGAACCTGTCTATCGCGTCTTTGTTATTGTGTTCCAACCGTTTCCAACCCCCTCAAAGGGGGTATTACAATTCCTCCTCCCATTATTATTATTATCATCAGGCGTAGACGCGGCCTTTTGCTAATTATACTCGAAATCGATTAAACGTAAGTTGGTAAGGAATCCGCGAAGGAGGTAACGATGAATTTAATCACGTTTCACGTGCACTCCACGTGTAAAATGTAATCACGCCGCGAGCGTGCATCCAAAGTCATCAAGAGTTTACACTCCAACGGTTTGTTTGCTTTAGTTATACACGCGGCTCCACGATAATCGCGATGCTTAGTTTAGAAGTCATCGAACTTTCGCCTCTGTTTTTTTTCTGGGAAAACAGCTGGTGTATTAAAAAATATATAGTC